GGCGTGCCATCTCCATACCAATTTCCAGATTTCAGAGATATGTAGCAGGAGAGATTCGGTTTGTATGGGAAGTGCCACGCCCCCTTTACATATAGATTTCTTTCAGCCCAAAACCATCCTTGGGACACGTGCGGCAGGTGGCAGTTTCAAAAAAATCATTTCAGCCGCTCTCGAGCCTTGCGAAAACTAACAAATGGCTTTCTAAATATATATTAGTTGAGATATATTATATATTATAATTATATTTTTACAGTATCCGTTGTTTCTGATTGGCGCAAAAAAATCTTGCCTAGTGACGAATTCGCCCCTTGATATGGTCGTTACTTAAAGCTATTTATATTCGAAATTGCATGAAAATTGGAAAACAGGAATCTATACGCTTATCCAGGCAAAAAGATACCTTCGTACCGAATTTTAAGCAAATCGGACCATAAATGCGATTTCTTCGAACAGATGGGTCCCTGGTCCACTTCTCGGACAAACTGGATCATATATGCTAATGTATGCTAAAAAGCTACCTACGCACAGTGTAAGATTGGACCCACCTAGCTGCTTTTAATTCTGTAATTCGAAAACTATTGAAGATAGATTAATGAAATTTTGCACAAGGTACGTTATAACATAGGCGAAGCATTTTTCCAAAAAACTGGTAATTATAGTTACTGTCACGCCACCCTATTATATAACTGCAATTTTTAAAAATGCAAAAACTGAAATACTTAACTATCTACAAAGGCTAAAATGACCAAAATTGATATTTAGAATTTCCCTGTAACAAGGAATTATAAACTGACAGAAATGGACTTAAACATAAATGTATTTTTTTAATTATGTGCGTGGAAAATATCGATAAAAAAGTCAAGTTGGGTCAACAAAATTCCGTTATAAGTTCAATATTTCTTGCTCTATTTACAAAAATGGGATACCATTGGAAAGGTAATGAATCAGGCTTTCTCTATTTAAAGCAAATATACAAGATTTTGTCTCGGTCGAGATAAAATGCAAATGAATTACTCGAAGAAAATAAAATTCCCAGAAGGTCAGAAAAAAGAAAATTTTATCAAAACCTGCACTTTCCAGCTGCTAAAATTGTGTTGTATAAAGTCTAAGAGGAGTGGCATATAAACTGAGATACAAACTTTATCGAATAGTGGCGGATAACGAGTTTTGGGGTCTAATAAAAATAATAATTTGCTAAAAATAAGTCTAAGTCAACATCGCTTTACTTTAACATGAAATACTAAGTCCTAGTTTACTAAAATCCCAAAAATGTATATTCATTAAAAAGAGCAT